TCTGATTGTCAGGACTATGTGAAGACGTGTGAAACATGTATAGACATGTACAAGTACAAACATATACAAGTAAGAATGACAAAACTATGATGGGGACACCTTCGGCTTCAGATACCAGACATATATGTACTAAAGAAATAGTGCAAATCCATGGGGTACCCACCAGCATCTTTTCCGATTGTGGAGTATAATACATGTCCAGCTTCTAGAGAGCATTCTGTAAGGCACATACATTTGAAACTTGGTTTTCCTCAGTGTGCCACCCTCCGACAAATGGTCAGACAGAGTATATGAATGAGACTCTAGAACAATATCTTTCTCATCTATTACAATATCTGTGCTTCTCATCTATTTTACAAGATAACTGGGCATCACTTCTTCCCTTGGCAGAATTTGCCTACAATACCTCGTAAACTAAGCCACGGGGCAGCCTAAATTTTCTGCAAACTTTGGATTTACCCCTTCATTCCTACCTCCTGATACTACAGTCCTGGCTGTTCAAGACAGACTGAAATAACAAGGTTTTACAAGAAGCTATCACCATGGCCCAACAGGACAATAACAGATTTTTTGACAAGAGGAGAGGGCATGTGAATTTCAATTTTCAACTTACAACTTAAGACTAGCATGCCCCTCTAAATGTTAGGGCCTATATTGACCCATTTGCAGTAAAAAGGAAAATGAATAAAGCAGTTTATAAACATGAACTTCTGGATTTATACAAAATCCATCCGGTTTTTCATGTATCTTTGCTAAAGCCTGCAGTTTCAGACCCATTTTCTGGTCATGACTCAGGACCTCCAGTGATTAAGGAATATGAAATAGAATATACTGTGGACTGAAGGAGAAGAGGAAGTCATATCCAGTATCTAATCAAATGGAAGGGTTACGGTCCAGAAGAACATTCCTGTAAGCCAGAAACCAACACACATGCCCCAAGGTTTGTACAAAGGTTTTTAGTTTACTCACCCAAAATGTCCCAAATGGGCATTCCAAAGAATGCACATTGTGGGGGATGTGTGTGACAGATCAGTGCAGGCCGAGCACGTGCACATGCTATTGCCCTGATCCGGTGCAAAGAATTGCAGGTAAATGTGCATTAGTGTGCAGACACAAATAAATTGGCATGCATACGTGCACAAATTAGCGTGAAGGCATGCACACAAACGTGGAGGCGCACACCAATTAGCGTAAGGGTGTGCATCAGCACACAGGCCAATTTAAACGGGTGTATAAAACGCTGAGTTGTCTTCAGCTAGTTCCCAGATTACCTTTGACCTGACCTGCCTTTCTGATTACCTGTGTAGGACCCATGGCCTGCTTACTGGACTACACATTCTGCCTTCTGCCCTGTACCTTCCTGACCGACTGTTACTGACCCCAGCTTTTGACCCCAATTCTGCTCCTGGTTTCTTGGCTGTCTGCTGCTTGGCTGTTACCAGCCTAAAGTCATCAGGGGTGTGGAAATTTTTTTTAAACTACTTGTCCAAGGACTAAAGTGGGGGCACAATCTACTTGTCCCTCATGACAAGCTACTTGTCCCTCACAACAAACTATGTATTTGTCTCGATACAAAAAATCATCTTAACCAAAACTGCATTTAACAGTGAATTGTCTACAGGGGCTTCTGCGCTCGATTAATCTAAGACAAACTGGGCGTTACTCCTTACAGCTGCTCACTTAAATTGGCTGCATGAGCCTGCATTAATATCATTCAAATATGTGAAGCGGCGCTATCACCCAAAAAGTAAACAAATATGTGCAAAAACCAAATATTATAGTGAACAATACTACTGTGAGAGAAAAAAACCAAAACATATATATATTATTTTTTAAATATTTTCAAAATTAAATCTTCTAGTCAACCGTTTGTGTGAATCACAAGGTGATAATCTAAAAAAACTTCAAATGACTAATAAAGTAGCAAACGTCCCGTGTCAGTGTATAAAACACATAATTTGAAACAAATTTAAAAGCAGGCAGCTCAGGTAGAAGCTGAGTCAGTGACGTCAGAACGCCTGGAGGAAAAGAGGAGGACAGATCTAACATCCAGGAATAAGATTCTGATTTTTTTTTTTTTGAGAGAGCGCTGCCTGCTTTTAATGAATTTATGAACACTTTGTTTCAAATTATGTGTTTTATACACTGACACAGGACGTTTGCTACTTTATTAGTCATTTGGAGTTTTTTTAGATTATCACCTTGTGATTCACACAGTTGACTAGATTTTAATTTTGAAAATATTTGAAAAATATTATATATATATATGGTTTTTTTTTTTCTCTCTTTACTTGTTGGGTGATAGCGCCGCTTCAGATATTTGAATGTATTTAACAGTGGGGGAGAGTTGACCAGATTTGAGCAGGTAATTCAATTTTCTAAAAATGACTTGGTAAAGTGAACTAACCTTTTAATGTGCATTGTGCATGTTAGAGAGCGCTGCTGCCCAGCTACCACAATATGGCACACAGTGGAATGGGGGCAGCACTCAGTTTACATGCACAATGCCCTACACATGCATTTATTTTTTACCACTTCATTTTTTTAATTGATTTATTTCTAAATTATTATTTATGTTATTATTTTTTACTTTTTTTAAATTATTTTGTACACTTTTTTTTCACTTAATTTTATTGTTATCACACAGGAGCTAACAAGCCCATGTGTGATACATTCAGTGGTGACAGGTTCTTTTTATTTAACCTGTCGCCCTACAATACAGGAGTTCTAGCACAGCACAGAACTATATCGCCCGCGCCCGGAACTGCATGCCCCGTGCGTCGGGCGATATGAATTGCACATCCCTGGTCATCCAAATCCACGCACCCAACCTCTGTGCAGATCCAGCCCACAACACGGCACTCATGTCACTCTGCATCCACATGTTCCCTGTCATCACTTCCAGGGGTGTCAGACGAGAGGTGCAAGGGAAGCCCCCTCATCACCTGTGTCTCAACCAACATATGTGACAGCATCTAAAAAACAATATGTCCTTCCTCTACACCATATAACACTTAAAAGAGTAGCCTTATTGGAAAATGGTCTTCTGCGTTTGTATGCTTGAGCTCTCTTTACATTGGTACTCTACAACAGTAGTTTGTATTTAGTTCACTACACCATAAAAAACTCACCCAGAGCTCAACTTAGAATTTAATAAAATGTTAATTCAGAGCCAAACTAAATAGACATATCATATTGCTTTACTCTCCTGAATATGTATACCTGCTTACAATGCCTAATTACTTTTCTTCAAGGTTCAGTGTATGTGCTTTGAATAAACGGAAACTCTGTGGAAACACATAAAATAGTAGCACAGAAAGCATTTGTTTAAGCTGAAGTAAAAAATAAAAAGCATTTTAAAAAAGGTAGTACTTCAATCCATTTCTAATGAGACACCAACTTGGGGTACCTGTTCATAAAATAAAGTTGCTTAGACAAGCTAGAACAGCATCCAGCACTGATTTTTGAGTGCCATTTCTCCCATGATCCAAGCTCTTAAAACCAACCGAACCATTCAGCTTATTTTACTCTAACACCCAGATTTTGGGGTGCTGTATATATGCCAGAATTGCTTCCTGAGCACCCCACTTTACTCTTTCTGTCAACAGGCATTTTCCATGCTTGAAATTACAGGCTTCACCTAGTAACATAAATGGTCATCCAGTGTATGAATAAGGGGATGAGTGCACGTATACACTAGTACAATAGCGGTAATATTTCTAATCGTTTTGATTTACTGATAATGTCATTACATATGAATGCCAGCATTTGTGACCACCATTAAGAAATTGGTCATCCAACCGATGTATTCAGGGCTTCACATGCCCGGGCCAGTTGCGTAGCTCTCAAAAATGCTATCCTTTGCAAGGGGTGGTGGATGCTAACGTCTTGCCCTCGAATAAGCTAGGGTATCTACTGCACATCAAATATATTCATAGTATTGAGAGTAATATTTACATTATTTGCCCTGCGGGGGGAAGGGGGAGGAGAGAGAGGGAGAGAGAGAGAGAGTAAAAGTACAGTAAGCCAGTTATAATGATTTAGCAGGGCTATACTGTACATGCATGGGCAACATTTCCTTGAACATATTTGTGTTGACTGCTGGAGTGTGAATATTAAATAGTAGACATGTTAACGTTTTAATTATAGCTAGTATAATATATGCCTTTCGCTTTTCTTTATGGGCACTAATTAGGTAAGTGAAATCCAGACACATACAGTTTACTGATAATTTTAGCGATTCACAATTTCCTCCCCTAATGTCTGATTTTATAATTATTGTATTACTGTGAAACATGCAGTCTGCTGTCACACTTCTGGACATTAAACAAATTAATAAACAAAAACAGCTCAAAACAACTTATACCACAGGCAGGTAAAATGAATACATTTCTGCTTCAGAATCTGCCCCCCTCTCCTATAAATTGTGTAACTCGTTTTCCCTCCTCCTGCCACTGCTGACTGATCTATTTTAAATTGGTTGCATTAAAATCGCGATTTCTGATATTTTTTGCACGGAAAAAGTAAAAGTTAGAGAGGGCACAAGCAATATACAGTTGTCCAAACTGGGTCAGACATTATTAGACATTAGCAAAGGAAATAAAGACAATATTGCAAGTGACACATCAATAACTACAAAAAAAAAAATTCAAATCTTTCCTTTAAACAGGTTGCAAATGAAATGGACTGCTTTGTTATACTGTTAAAGAAAGCTGTAACATACAGTGTTCGCTTTCATTATTAATGTTATCTCGACTAGGAAGAAATTATTGCAGTATGTAAATATTTCACATCACATGGTATGATAAAATGTTTCGTCAAGCTCTTCATATAAAGAACAGCTTTTAAAATTAAAGAGCCCAAGCCTGGAGAAATGCTGTGCTTCTCACAGGCTGTAAAAATGGTTCAGTGTGAAACAAGCCTACATATGACCTTCCTCCACCTCACAGGCAAAAACACTTGAGTGGGTGTCAAAATGACTTGTGCACAGGCTACCTGGTGGCATGGGAGAGTTCCAGCCTCCTGCTGTGTGCACGTCTCCATGGAAAGGCTGCTCAATCATACAGCACCTAACAGACCTCGTATCAGCTGCTCGCTCCTGCAACGTTCGTAAGCTGCTGTCCATCAGGAAAAGTAATTAGTTGGTTTATTATGTATGGAAGCGACAGCCTATCACTGAATCCTCACGGTGAATAGCTTCTGTAATGCACTTGTCTGTGCCTTCCGCCTGGTGCTGTCCACATTGCTGCTGTCAGGACTGTTGTTGCTTTTCAGGGATTTGCCCATGTACACTGTGCACTTCCAAGAAAGAAAGGAAACAAGAGGAAGCACATCATCTGTGCCTGAGAGGTACATCAAGCACCAGGGTAGGAAACCTTGAAGAATGTGGGAAAAGTTCAAGAAGAACTGTGCTCAGAAATCTGACAATGACATCAATCTTGTGACAAATGCATTTTCTCCTTGTAACCAATTTCTTGCTAGAACTGATGGCTCCACATTTTATCCACACTGACCTGGTATTTACTTGGTAAGCTAGAATTAAGGAGAATTAGACAAGGGAAGCTGCACATTCCAGGAGCATTATGTTTTTATTGAAATTTTAATGTGTCCTGAACGTGATTATGTGGGGTCAGTGCTTATCCTTTTTATCATAACAACACCTACATATCTGGATTTCCTTGTGAAAGACAATGGATTTAAGACACTGCTAACAGCAGGGAAATCTCTTTTGCACAAGATTCTTGACAGGCAACTCTGGAAGCAAAATAAAGACAATTAAAAAAGCTTTAAATCAGGCAGAGAATGTGCAACTACAAGGAGTTGGATGCTGAGAAACAAGAAAGAGAGTGAATGTGCAGGAGCCATTGTGAGAACTCACTGCTTACCTGCAACATCGTTGCACCGGCTGTCAGAAACAAGACAAATGAACTGCAATCCACATCCTTTAGGGTAAGTTTTATTTTCATACTTTGACATGTTAGTTTCGGATAAGCCTGAGGCAATGGAAACAGAAAACTTGCCCTTGCAACGAGAGTGTGGTTTCAAAGCAGTGTGAGTGTGTGTGTGTTGCTAACTTATTGAGCTCATTTAGACATACTGTATGAATAGCTTCCAGCTTATTGGATTTGCTAAACTGTACAAAGTAAGCACAGACTCTGTTCCCTAAGTAATTTTGTCTCTGTGAGATAGTAACATCTCCACCACAAAATCACATTGTGTACTGTAATAAAAACTTGGAACAGAGACCTTCCTAGTGTTCTAAGCTTATTACGTTATTTATTTTTGTTTGATGTGATTAAAATCATTCTATGGGCTTTGTATACTAACCGATGTTTGCATAATACTGACAACTAAAGAGATGTAACAAGAACAAAGATTATAGTATTTTAGTGGTGTGAACAAATAAGTGAGTGACACTGAATGTTTTGTATGGATAGTTTGTTCCAAAAAAGTGGTGTCTGGAGGTTCAGGTGTAATGAATAAATACCAAATAAATTTAGCAAATTGGGTTTTATGATGCACGATTCAAATGATGGAGCAAAGGGAATTAAATTATTTTATGTGTATAATTACCTTGAAATAAAATGAGTAAAACACTAATAGTTAGTTACAAGGTCTCAGAGGAATGTGTTAAATGTGACGTCTTTAATTTAGAAACCGGTGTAGCTGCGAGCACAAGGGAGGGACACAAGCAGCAGACAGACAGAGAGCCGGTGAGCAGTGTGCTTTACTCAATCTGAAAGCCGGGTTTTATGCGTTTGGCGTGATAACCAGAGACTTTCCTTCCCCCATTTAAAATTTTAATGAAGATGTTAAAAGCATCCAAGCAGAGACTGCCAGCTCTCGAGTGATGCCATTCATACAGATGTGTGACACTGCACCCAGGCAAAGCTTAGAAGCTGACCCCAGTGGAACATCCCAGGGGAACATGCTTGTGACGTTACAATGATCCAAATGGCAAGCAGCATTGTGCGCAGCTAACGTGTGCATATTCTATGTGCATTTAAACATAAGGAATGAATCAATCCCCTCACGAGGGGCATTATAATATCATGAACATTGATTGTTTTGCTGCAGAATAACTAAAAGCAGCCAATTTGTTTACAAAAACATACCAACACAATACCATGCATGGGATACCAGCAAGGGCTTTATAATTGTTTTTTTTCTATAAATTTAACGTTAAATAAAATCTGTTATTAATGCAATAATGAAGATTGTAATGATGTAAAAATAATTTCCCTGGGGTGTGGAAGGATGTTTTTTTGCTAAATATTGACTAATGTATTATGTCAACCAAATAAATAGGTTGAAGTATTGTTACAATAATATCACAGATATTGATGTACACTAGGGTAATGCCAGGAAACAGAGGAGATGTCACTGCTGACAACTTGTAGGTAGTGCTATCAATGACAGTTTTGCTGTGAGGGGTAAAATGCTTCTCTTTTCTGCTGGAAATCCCTGTAGATGTCTGTACTTGTAGTGTTACTAGGGGACAATGACGTTCTGATTTGCACACGGATTTAAAAGCAAGGGTCAAGTTCAGTGTGAGTGAAATTTCTAGTTACTTGTATTAGGCAATTAATTATAAGGATCAGTAAATGCGACGTGCACTGTGTCTCGAAAGGTTATAATGCAATACCGTGCGGCACTTAAACTTTTTATTTGGGCTTTAAACATCATTGCAAGCTTTGGGATTCACCAAGAATAAGTTATTTGTATTACGAAGGATTCCAGGGATTCTACCTAGGCCTGGTTTCTGACGTATATAACTAATTTTCTGAGGTCCCTCTGGGCCCTCAAACATTTTAAGAGTAGATTTAGAGCTTTATGCCACACAAATATCTGAAGGTATACATCCGTTCACATGTAGCGACATACCTTTGCAGCGGCCGGGATAGCGCGACTTCCGGGGCGACGTTCCAGCGACGATCCAGCGACGGTAGCGCGACCTTCTCCGGGCTCCATAGAAAAAAAGCAAAATCGCGCAAAATCCGCCGAAAAAAGGGTCCGGTAGAAGCGACTTGCGACCGCGACGAGCGACATGGAGTTAAGACAGCTCCATTGAATAGCATTGGCCGGCGACTTCTCGCGATATCACGCGGCAAAAATGCGCGAAGTCGCTATATGTGAACGGGGCCTTAGTGTTCTGGAGGGCTACTACTACTGCATTAAAGAACTACTAAATTTATAAACCTGTACAAGCACGCACTAACTATTAAACAATACAAATGTTATATAGTGCAGCAAATTCAGACTTCAGAGTAACTGGCTGTATATTGACGCTACAGCATTTATTATTTTTAAACAGTAAAAGAGAACCACTGGAAATGTATTTATCAAAGCTGCTGCTGTGATGCTCATTCTTAGACAATGGGTTAATCATTTATCTGTCAAATCATGTCAGCATAGTAGGAGTTAAAAAGCATCATCTTGTATAGTCATGGTAAAATGCCTGAGAACTGCATGTTTTTCTAATGTCAAAAATAGATTTCCCTTGCATTGCCTGTAAAAGAGATTTATTCCAACCACTGATAACATGTTTTGGAATTAAATTATTTCATTCTTGATTAGCTGCTTTTATGGTAGTAGATGGCTTGTTGAATGCTGTTGAGTCCACTTTACGTGAATTTTTTAATTCAATAACCCTGCTGTATGTCTTCCAAGATGGACCAAGAGCAAATTAATTGTCATGAAAAAGAAATAGGAGATATCCAATAAGTCACTAAAACATAGTGGCGAAGGCACAGCAAAGCCACTAGTAATTACTTTAGTATCCAATCAGGGTTTTGTTCTCGCCCCTGTACTGGTACAACGTGAGCTGTGACTGGTTTCCATGCGCAAATGTACCCGTCTCCTTTGCTTCAATGTTCATGATTCAGCCCTGCAATGTAAAAGCAGCTGTAGCCTACCTTGAAGCGGAACTAAAGACCTGCTGTGAAAAACTGCAAGGAGTTTGTTTTTCTTTTGGAAAATAAACATGCAAAGTCTCTTTTTCCTTTCCGGTGTACAATGTACAGCGCATGTATTGTGCAGTTTACATCCCAGCTCATTCTCGGCATGTCAAGAACAGAGCCAGGTGCCAGAAACGATATAGCTCTTGTGCGCATGCGCAGGAGTTACATCTTTAGTGACCATCCAATGAACGAAGAGAAGTCCTGCTGCAACCCCTAAAACTCTTATAATTCAACCAATGGCAAAATACAACAAGCAACTTTCACAAAAAATGTTTTCTGTCGCTAGTTAATAAAAAAGTAAAAAATGCCTCATTTAAAAGGAGTCTTTTTAATATGTACTTGTCTCATTGCCTGTGTCACTGTTCTCCCCATTGTTCCAGAGAGACTGCTACTGGAGGACCATTCAGTGTTCACACTTACAGGTGTGTCAGATACCTGGTCACCTTCTGTGCTCTGTGGTTTCTACTGCTGGCCCCTATGGCCCTACTGTGTACTATAATGATGTAGGGATTGGCAGGAGGAACTGGAGTGCAGAGTGGGGGCAGGCATCAGACAGACCCAGAAGTGTCAAATACAAAAGATTCCAAAGGCAGTAGCTTGATAAAGCAGAGGAGAACTGCAATGTGGACATGGGGCAGGTAAATAGAAAATATGGTTCCTTGAAAAAAAAGTATTTAATACTTATGTGTCGAGCCGACAATAAGAAACAATAATCCTGTTGACAACAACCAATCAGATTCTTAGTTTTATGATTCAAGTACAGTATGATGGAATGAAAGAGAGACTCTAACTGGTTGCTATGTTTTCCCACCTTTCTTCAGACATTTTTATGTATGAGGCTAAATGTTAAATGGGGATAGAAACCACTGGCTGTTGAGCACCGTTACAAACAACAGTAGACAGTTGATGTTTTCTTGTGTAAGAATCAGTAAAGTAAACGGCATGGCTCACAATCAATAGACATTTTCCATTTGCTTTGCTAAATAGAAACAATCAGCATCCTAGATAAGTTATTACTCTGCTCTCATTACAATAGCCAGAGATCTTCTGTGTTAAGTCATTTATCAGACAGCATCTGTCTTAGTTCATGAAGAAGCAAGCATCTGAATAGCTTGCGAGAATTTTGGAGGAGCAATTGCATTTCATTCTCCAGGAAGATATACTGTATGTTATGGCTATTTTTTTTTAAAGGAGCATTAAGGAGCGAGTGAAAGACACTCATCCCCATAATTCAAGCCGACCTGTGCCAAAGGAGCTGTCACAGATCGGTAAGTGAGCGAACACACATCGCCAATTGTTGACTTCCCCATCCTCTCCCTGCAGAGAGCAGTGACTGTCATTCACCGCTCCCCGCAGGGATTCCCCCCTGCCCTCTCCGATCCTCCAGTGCTCTCTGGAGGAACGAATGAGGAAGGGGGCGAGCACAACTGGCTCTGCTTCTAGAGAGGTACAGCCAGCTTTTAAATCAGCCAGCGGGGTGGATGTCGACATTATTGTCGGGATCCATCCCAGCTGTGGATCGGCCCTGCGTTTACAGCTTATAGTGGGCAATAGCCCGCTATATGCTGAGTTTTGTGTCACCGGACACAGTAAATGTCCTCCTGTGCCCCTGAGGAGAACTATGGGCAAAAAAGGTTGCCCCATAGTTCTCCTTTAAGTCTGGTTTTAGACAAGCTTAAACAGAACAACTCCAATCAACAAGGCAATTTTCTATGTCATACTGCTCTATTACCCTTTAGTCAATAAAAAAAAAAAAAAAAGGTTTTATTTTTCATCTTACTACATTACAATACGATACGATGCGACTGTACAAAGGAATAAGACACACTGGGATCATAGCAAAGTGCTTTGGGTCCAATATGATTCACTTCTCAGGGGTAAGCTGAAATCCCATAATATACATTGTATTGTCGTATCACACCAGGCTAAAGCAGTGACATCTGAAATCAGTTTTAACATTTATCCCCTAGAGGTGCTATTGTTTGCAGT